GCATTATTTTTTATTATTAATTAACAATATTAAAATTGTAAAAAAATCAAAATAACAAAAAGGTAACCACATATAAATTTAAAATATCGGCATTTAAAACAAACAACAATAGTATATTGTGCAAAATTCGTTTGACACCCGAGCGAAACGAGCTTGGCAAGAATGCGCTTGCATAATAGACCATTCTTTACGAGTTATACATATTGTTTTGTCCCAAAATCATTAAAAAATGAAATACAAATTAATACTTTATGAAAGAATGGAGGTTTGAACTAACCTTAATAATATTATTGACAGATGTGTTTTTGTTTTGAGGTTAAGTTTTTTAGCATTGTTATCTGTTTTTTTTTTGTGATAATGCCTTAAATTTGATGATTTTTATAGCTTTAGCCACCTTGTCATTGGTCCATACGTTTCGTTTTTCTGAAACATAGACCAAAAAAATTGTGTAAAAATTCAACTATTTTCTGTTTAAAATTTGTTTTAGTATTTTACAAATAAATATATATGAGTTAGAGTATGAGTATAAGGAACTTATGGCTGGCCCCATCGGTAACGCCTTACACTGATCTGCCAGGGTTATTTTACCATTTTTCAGTTCTCCCGTGCTTGATGGATCCGAATTTTCACCCTAGCTGGTAAATATACCTCTAGGAGTTCCTTGTAGGGGTGTCAATCCCGAGCCCATTTTCCAATCCCGGGCCTTTCGGGACCTTAAGGTAACTAATCCCGGGATCCCGGGATCAGTCCCGAAAAAATATATATCATTAATTTTAAAACCAATTTAAAATAAAACAACAAGAATTCGTAGGCACATTGTACCCACGTTTACCCCTATTAACAAATAATTCCATTTTTGTTATCAATCGGGCCTTGGTGAGTTCGAATTGGGGCTGTAACTTACATTGAAATTATCAATTTGTGACATTTTTTCAGGTTTGACGTTTGAAATATGTTATATTATAGGTTATGTACATAAATTTATTCTACTGTGACCTGTAATTTTACATTTTCTTTGCTGATTTTATACTATAGATGGAACCACTCTTGCTATGTTATTTCAATGTATTCGCATTATTGTACGGCGGTGTATAATAATTTGACTTGAACTGAGTAAAAAAATGAAGTGTTTATACAGTGCTTGCAAATCCAAGTCCGACCGCACTGGAAAGGACGGCTGTTCAATACCCGCGTGAAAAGAATAAGGATAGAATGCCAAACAGAATTTGATTGGTCAGAGCGTCAGGCGTGCGTATTGTAAGCGCCTTCTGTTTGGCGTTCTATCCTTGTTATTTTCACGCGTCCTTCTCAAACCGGTCGGACTTGGATTTGCAAGCACTGTATATATGCTTATGAGTATTATAATATAAAAAATGTAATACGCTTAAAAAAAAGTCTATTTTATTCTTTGTAACTTATTACTAAGATCCCGGGATTGGGACTTTTAATCCCGGGATTTTCGGGATCGGATTTTTTACACGATCCCGGGACCCCGGGATTTCGGGATCCTGGGATTGACACCCCTAGTTTCTTGATGACAGGCTGATGGTTAAGGAATTTTATCGCTGGGCCGGGCCATACGCCCAATTCAGGCTAATGGATTGCGGGACAAGGAGGGCAAACATTTTGGTTTTTAAGAAACATTAAACTTCCAACACTACAATCTGGAGTCCTCCTTAACCAGAGATTTCAATTGTGAGTCATGAATGGGGCTTGTTTGATTAGTACGCTGCTAGGACCTATCCTTGTTCGTCTGTGTCCACGACTCTGTCCAAGTGGGGTTCCGAGCTTGCTGACTATCAATAACGTTGCATCCCATTGTACGGTTGTTTAGTATTACGTGTTTAAGGAGACGGCCACTTCGGTTGGTTACCTAATATATGAACCCCTTAAATGTAGTCTACAGGTGTTTATTTCTTTAGGACGAGATTTTCTTTTGCCTAGTGTTTGTCTGAACTTAACTATTAACTTTTTGTACTATGCTTGCTGTTTTTATGGAAATTTTTTTCAGCGATTTATACACCACGGCTATCCGGCACTGATGAGGTCTAACAAGACCAAAAAAAGGCTGCTAAAATTTTTTAAAGATTAATTTAAAAAAAGTAGATTTACATGGATTAAAGAAATAAAGTAAATTCAAGCCTTAGTGCAATCAATTTATATTTTAAATTGCTAAAATTACCTATTATTTTTCTTGTCTAGTTCGTAAGTTAATTTTTACCAGGATCTTGAGAACTAAGAGTGACCGCGACTTCGTCCACTTACCCCTGATTAAACGACAGGCAAGATGCGTAAGTAGTGGTTCTAATATTTGTGTCTTTCATCGATACAATTCACTCTGGTAAAATTCAAACTCGCTCAGCATGAAGACATAAACCGGAGTTAAAAATTTAGTGTTAAGTGATTTTTTAATAAATTTTGTGAAAATGCGATAATTTTGTGTCTCCAGAAGAAGGAAAATTAATAAGCTTTTTAATTTTAATTTGTGGCCTTAATGTAATAATAAATAAATTAAATGAACTTTTTTGACTAGATTTTGTTCGTGGGACAAACCAGAATACTGAGAATCAAGCACATTAAAAAGTATATTCGACTAGATAATAATTTTTGTTTTTAATAATTTGAAATGCCCAAATAGAAACATATTAGATTATGAGTTTAGAATATATAGGTATACATTAATCTGGTTTGTATTACATTTTTCGTGATACAGGTAAGCTGACCCGACAAAAATTTCCTAGATGTAGGCTAGTTGCCTTACATTATTATTATTATTAATAATATTATTATTATTATTTGTGTATATCTAGTAAGTTGCCAGTCTGATCTTGACGCTTGAAGTGTAAGCATATGCTCATCGATCTCTCTTAAGCAGCGTATACGATACAAACGTAGTAACGTGATAACTGGTTAACGCGGTATATTCGCTAAATGTTTATAAAAGCATTTCACAATGTTTATATAAGCATTTCACAATGTTGCAAAAAGAAAATACTAAGAATTCTTTTATTGTCTCAAAAACTAAATTAAAAAAGAATAAGAACATTTCCTTAAGTTTAAACAAACAACCTCATTTTCTCATAGCAGACAAACATAAACAACCATCGAAAAAGGCGTAAGATAAATAAATAAATAAACCAAATGCAAGAAGACAAAAAATAACATAAACAAGTTGTGTGTGAATAGCAGTGTTGCCAGATGTAAAAGTTGAATTATCGAATTGGGTAAATAAAATTATCGAATTTTCGGAAATTAAGTTACAATAATTGTAATAATTATGTAACAATAATTATTATAATGTAATCATAAAAAAAGTGAAAGAGAAAGAATCGAATTTTTAGAAAATTATAAAATTTGTAAAAGTAAAAAAAATACCCCCCACTGGGAACTGCCTTATCGCAGCGATTGCGGCCTTACGCTCGGCACGAGTGATGGGCTCCTCCGCGGGGGGGTGCAGCCTCCCGTGGCCTATACGGGGGATGGTCTACACGGCGGTAGTCGTAGTACGATTGCCGTTGTGTGGATTGTCTTCCGGGGGGGCCGCGGGGGGTTGTATTTCTTTGCGGGGGAGTTTATCATGTGTGCCGATTATCGTACCAATGGGAAAAACCATTACCAAAAGGGTAAGAGTAGCCCAATTAAACACTGGGCCCACGTCACTCGTAGACAACGCAACAACATACTACAAGCCACCCTTAAACTAGATCTTAAAGACAAAAAAATCGGTAGACCATGCTTCACATTTCATGACACGTAGCACAATACATGCACTTCTCACAAAGTAACAAGACCAGTTGGGAGCAACTAAACAACAATAAAAAAAAAAAAAACAACCGACACACTTTACCAAGTTCAGGAACTATCCGACACGGATAATGACAATAATGAACAAGACGAAGACCTCGACTAGGAAACTACACCCCTGCAGCGTAATAACAACTCCCCAACTCCAAATAGTAATCCCAAATGTTTGGAGTAATACTAACCGACTGGTCTAGGGGGATTCCGCGTCGTACTTAGTTTTAAGTCGGCGTAATTGTCCCCCAAAAACCAACTCCCTCCCGTCCCTCATCCATACCTCACTGAGCGTATAGCATAGGCCCGGCGAACCCGGAAACGGCTATTATAACTATTCGCCTCTCGCTCTCGAGCCCCAAATAGGGGACAGTACGGAACGCAATGGACATTCGCACCCAGCAAACACGGGTGAAGCCGTGCAGTTGCTGGGGAAGAACAAAAATCGGCGTAAGTAAACATAGGCCTGTACGGGGTTTGAGAGTCAAGAGGAAATGGGGCTGGTTATACGTCTCTTATACTCATACTCATTTGTGTATATCTAGTAAGTTGACCTCCTGAAGGCCAAATAAGAATTTAACCTTGGAATTTGTTGATAATATTACACAGCCATCAGGGACGTCGAAAGTCCTTTTTGACTGGGGGAGCGAATGTGAGAAAATATTAAATGTTTATGTGTCTATATACAGGATCAAATTTAGTAATAAAATAAATAAATATATTCATACTAGCGCGGCTTTGCTCGTTACTACAATAAACCATTCTACAAACCTCCCCCCGTCCGCCACCACAGACTCCATAAAAGTTTAAAATTTTAATTTAAATCATTTTTAGATAAATACTTATTATTATAATAATAAGTATTTGTCGTAAAAAAAGTATAGTATGAAACTCGTTTTTAATCTTTTCTGGACACTTATTTAATTAAGCACTCGCTCGCAAGCTCGCTCGTGCCTGAATTAAATTTGTGACCAAAATGGCGTTTTTACATAATTAACTATTAAAATTCTCCCAATTACTTTAAAATAATTTAAAGTACTTTAAAATATGCAGATCATGTAATTTTCTAAACATTAAAACCTTACCTTCAACAAAGTTTTGCTACGCCCATGCATGTTAATTTTATTAATTTTTATTTCCTGCGCTTTCGAGTACGCCTATCCCGACAAATTATACACACATTCGTTCTCATCAGTGTATGTGTGCACACAAATTACGGGCAGTTAATAAATTTATAAAATTTTGTGAACTTAGTCCACATACATATGGTTTTATTTTAATATTAATCAGCTATATAGTTAGATTGCATTACTCGTATAAATTTCCTTGACATATAAAATTTAGGTCAGCTCATACACAGCTTTGTTAATTTGTTCAGTTTGATTGCATTTTTATTTTAGTATTTAGAAGAAAAGTGCGGAAATGTTGTTCCAAGAATATTGGCCTTTTTTCGTTGCTGGAATAATTTTGTATGTGATTGCAAGAGTCGGCTATGCTTATATGGTGGAGAAAGATAAGAAGTTGCAGTATAAACACAAAAAAAATGAGGATTTGCAAACTCCAGATCAAAGTAAGCAATAAATCTTAATATTTGCAATCCAATTCGATTTTTTACATCAAATAATTTTAGATTAACTGGGAATATGTGTTTTGGTAAGCTTTAAAATATTTAACTTTTGTAATGTATGTATGTTACTACTATGCGTTGTTAAAATCGATGTGCATCATGCACAGTGCATGGCCTTTTGAATTGTTGTAATTTTTTATTTATTTAATTATTATATAATATATAGACCTGTAATTTAAATTACTTTTTTTTGTTGAATTAACAATACAGGCTTTAAATAGTTAATAATTATACCTATAGCTTAACAATGCAGGTAAGGTAAAATTTAAAGGCATTATATATTTTATAATTTCAACGGTTATAATTTTTACTAAGAATTTTCTAGGTGACTACAAAATATTATTTAATTGTTTTTAATATTAAATGTAATTAATACAAAAACTTCTAAAAAGTGGGTATACAATAAGCAAGTAAAAGCCCCCTTTTATTTCAAAATTAAGTCATACTGTTAAAGGGTCACATTTTTTTAATGGAAAGTGAGGTCATGTGACACATTCTTAAAAAGGTATTTGCATAACCTACGAAAATGGCGTCGTACTGTAAAAGGGTCACATTTATTAAAATGGAAAGTATGGTCAGATGTCGTTAAAAAATCTTTGCAAGTTTATCATAATATATTACCAATTTGACAAGATTATGCATGACAAAATTTTTGCAAAACTCGTACGAAAGGCTAGACGAGACATGAAAGTCTCGTTGGTCTCGTTGGCGTCACTAGTCAAAAAGTAGTATTTTCTTGTTTAACATACTAAAATTTCCAATTTCTAAATAGAGCTGTTCAAAAATAAAGGGGAGCTCCCGATTTTTACGCTCAATTTAGAAATTGTAGTTTTTAGTATAATTAGTATACCTATTTACATTTTTTATTCTGGACAAAATATTTTACTAATGATTTTTCCTGCTTGGTTGGAAACCTCTAAAACATATATTTTATATATGTACATAACGGTTTATGAGAACATGACAATTTTCTTTAAATTTTGTAATTTTTATTTTACATAAAATTATTTCCATTTCTCATTAAATTTTATTCTACTTCTTTAAAAAAAAATAATTAATAATTTTCTAGAAAAAAGTGTTTTTAAAAAGAAATAAATTAAAACTATTTATCTCTTTTCTCCGCCTCAATTTTGAATATAAATTTAATTTTCTCATAAAACTTTTGAGAAATTCAAGTTTTTGGGGTTTAAAAACAAGCCGGAAAATCATTAGAAATAATTTTTTCTAAAATATAAAAAATACTTATCTCCGGGGAAATATTTACCTACTATATAAAATCTATCCAACAATGTTTTAATACGAAAATATTACCTAAAAATTCATTTTTTTAATGCGCTTAAAAATTAAAAAATATTACCTAATTGTTTTTTTAGTTAAAGAGAATTTCACGTCAATCGGGCAAAAATATCTAAATAATTTTTGTTCGATTTTTTTATTTGGGTATTACCTATGAACTCTTTGCTGAAATTTAATATAAGAACTTTGTAGCAAATTTTTGATAAAAAAAGGGATATAGAAAAATTTGATATATTATATAATATATACAGTGTGTCGCACTTAAGATGAAGACACCCCCATATTTTCTCCATTTGAAGGAATACAGATTTGAATTTTTGCACAGTAATACATCTTTTTTAAGATACTCCACTGAAATCTAAACTTTAAACTCAGCCTACTACGAATTCACTAACAGGGCCAATAATCGATATTTAGTTTCGCGTTAAAGATATCGAAAAAAATTATTTGAAAAAGTTGTTCAGAATATTATTCTTACCCAGTATAGCGATTTTTATAAGAAAATACGCATTTTTAATTTTTTTAATTTTTGTTTACACAAAATTATCAAAAGTCCATTTTTTAGCTTGATAATAAGGGAGCCATGGAAAGTAATAATATGACACTAACTAATAAAAAAAATAAAAATAAAATAATTAACTATCAAATACGATCTCTCTAAACTAGTCCTCCCTCTATTCGAATACATTTTTCGATTCTTTTACCATTATGTTTAGTTACTCGTCTAAGTTCCGGGATGCTAAATTCTTGACAAGCTTGCCTTATTCTGGCACAAAGTTCTTCTTGATTTCTGGGCCTTGTTTTATAAACTTTATTTTTTACCGCTTCCCAAAAATAAAAATCGAGGTGTGTAATATCGGGATACCTCGGAGGCCATAGTTCAAAAGGACTGTTCCTTCCTATCCAGCGCATAGTAAATTTTTGGTTCAACCATTGACGAACAATCCTTGAATTGTGGATGGATCCACCATCTAGCTGCAGATACATATCCTATCGCACATTAAGTGGAAGATTTTCAATTGCATCCCATGCATTAGGGTGAGCCAAAAAAACTAACCTATCGGATTTATGGGTTAAAATGAACCTACATACCGAGCAAAAAATTTCCCTGCAAGGCAAAATTTTTTGCTCAATTTTAAAAGGTGTCGGTGAGCATTCTAAGTTTTCCATTGAAATAACACGTAAAAAAAATCTTTTTTCATTAAAAATACCATAACTTTTGAACACTTAAGTGTAAAAAATCCCTAAAACTGCAGTTTTAGTGATTTTTTACATTTTTCAAAGCTTTAAAACATACGAATTTTTGAATAAAAAAAAATAATCCTGGTATAGATTCTTTGGGAAATTTTATGCTCTACAAGAATCCGCGACGTAAAAAATTTTATCTCAAACGGTTCAAAAGTTATAGTCTTTTTAATGAAAAAAGATTTTTTTACGTGTTATTTCAATGAAAAAATTAGAATGCTCACCGACACCTTTTAAAATTGAGCAAAAAATTTTGCCTTGCAGGGAAATTTTTTTCTCGGTATGTAGGTTCATTTTAACCCATAAATCCGATAGGTTAGTTTTTTTGGCTCACCCTAATGCATGTGTTGATTTGCAATTTTCGATTCATATAGGGTCGTTTTAATTTTTATTCAGGAATTATTCCTATCACCAAAGTGATATTTTCAGTTACATACAAAATATCATATAAGAACTTTTATTCTGGGAATTAAAAATATCATGAAAAATATTTTATGCCAAACTGATATTTTTAATTAAGCAAATTTAAAATATGATTCTTATATTTGTATTTTTTAGTTAAACACATATTTTTAATTCGCTAAATTACAAATATCAGTTTGGCATAATTTTAATTTTATTTTTTTTAAATAAGCAGATGTTTTTGATTGAATACGATATTTTTAATTCAGATTAAAAGTTTGGACACCCCTGGTATTCCAAAATAATTATGTCGCTAGATGGCAGCACAATCACTTGGCTCCACATACTTAACACATACATAAGTTTATGTGCTTGGCTCCTAATTACGTGAGTCCGATGTCGCACTGATTCACCGTGTGCTAAACAAGGACAGTACCTACACGTTAGTTTGTTGGTTTGTTATATGGCTTGTTGGAGTGGCTCGGTTTTTGTGGCGTTTAGAATAACAGGGGTATCCAAACTCGCAATAAGTCGGAATTAAAAATATACATACAATTAATAATATCTGCTTATTTAATAAAATAAATATTAAATCGAATTAAAAATATCTCCTGTAATATTTTTAATTTAGCGAATTAAAAATATGTGTTAAAGCAAAGAAATACAAATATAAGAAGCAAATATTTTAAACTAACTAAATAAAAAATATCAGTTTGGCATACAAATTAGGTAGGTAAATCTTATTTTTAATTTAGAAAATTAAAAATGTGTGTTTAACAAATAATCCAAATATGTATAAGAAACAGATATTTTAAATTCACTAAATTAAAAATATCAGTTTGGCATAAAAATTAAATCTAATTTTAAAATATCTGCTATGATATTATTAATTCGCAGAATAAAAATTCTTATGTAATATTTTTTATCTAATTGAAAATATCACTCTAGGGTTAGCACATAAAATTAATTCCTGAATAAAAAATAAAACGACGCCCCATAGAGTCACGATACTTTTGTGTGAGCATCGATTTACATCAAAATATTTTTATATACAATAATAATACTTTAAATACATTTTGTCGGCCGTAATAGTTTTATTTTTAAGGAAACTTAAAAACTAATTTTAATGTATTTTATATACAAACTTAATAAAATAAATATTATTTTATTAATTCAAAATTAAATATTATATACATCAAAAAACACCTTAAAAATATTAATATTTTAGTTGCTGATATCGATAAAGACGACTCAGGCGAAGCAGACGATGAAGAAGAACTAGTCCCAGCATATCCAGAAAATTTAGAGCATATTCCACTAAATTTTCAAAAAATAACCATTGAAGAAAGCATTAAAAGATCTAACGAATTTTACGAACTACTAAACAAAAGAAGAACTGTCAGACATTTTAGCAATGATCCAGTACCCAGAGAAATTATTGCCAACATTATAAAAGCAGCAGGTAAGGACAGAATACCTTATCCTAAAAAATGAAGATTTTTCACATATGTTATTGAATAAGACACGTCCTAACGGCTAAAAATCCGTTTTCCAGTTTTTATTAATTTGGATAAAAGGAAAATATATAATAATAATAATATGATAAGATATAAGATCTTATATCCATTTATTTATAATATAAGATATACATCTTATATCTTATTTATCTTCAAAATTAAGATCAGATCAGATCAGATTTAGTTTAGGCTATAATTATTATTATAATGATTAATTCTTTCTATTTAAAAGTGGAAAATAAATTTATTATTATTATTATTATTATTATTCAACACAGATTATAGGTGATGTAGTGGTCGGCAGGTTTATTCCTACTTTCTTTCCAATTTTCTCCCATTCTTTTTACTTCACATCTCATTTTATGGACATTAAATGACTTAAGACTTGTAAAACAACAAGTAAAGTTTTAATAATTGTTTTCTTTGTTAGGTACTGCACCTAGTGGTGCCCATACAGAGCCTTGGACCTACGTGGTGGTGAGTTCAATGGGAATAAAAGAAAAAATACGTGAAATTATTGAACAAGAGGAAGAAATAAACTACAAGAAACGGATGGGAAAAGTTTGGACAACTGATTTAAAGCCTTTCAGAACAAACTGGATAAAGGAGTATCTGACTGAGGCGCCTTATTTAATACTTGTCTTTAAGCAGATGTATAGTTTTAAATCAAACGGCCAGAAGAAATTGCACTATTACAATGAACAAAGCGTTTCGTTGGCGTGTGGTTTATTAATAGCTGCTGTCCATGTAAGTTTGTTATGAAACATTTTTTTTATTAAACCTTGTTGACAGTTAATAGCAAAATCGGTACTAATTTACCTAGAAAGCAAAACACATCCAAAAATTTTTGTTATGGAAATAACTTAAATAGGGCACTTAGATTATACTTTAAACTATAAACTTATGTTTACAGTTTTTGTCGAAAAATAAAAACATTAAATTATTATTACTGTGTGTTTTTAGTATGCAGGATTGGTATCTTTAACATCAACTCCATTAAATTGTGGACCAGCATTAAGAACACTTTTGGAAAGACCCATGAACGAAAAACTTACCCTTTTACTACCAGTTGGTTACCCCGCTAATAATTGTTTGGTTCCAGATTTAAAAAGAAAATCATTGGATAAAATTCTCATAGAAATGTAGATTTTTAAAACTTTAAATTAAGATTTTATTTAAGATACCTTATGTGTTTTTATATTTTGTAATTTTTAAATTATATTAAAAATAAAATACTTTAACTTTTTAATTTTTCTTTATTTACTATACATACATACATTTTCAAATTTTACAAAGAAGAATTAAATATTAGGTACTTTGCTAGATATTTATTTATATGTATAAAGAACCTTAAAAATTGATATTTTTATTTTAACTTTAGATTACCTTGTTTTCATTGTATATGAACCACTAATGGTGATATGATTTTGTTTTAAAATATTGAATAAGTATTGGTCATTATATTACAATTAAGTTAAATTGGATATTACATTATATTATAAAGGCATTGATTACAGACCAACGATAAAGGTATAAGTTAATTAAGTTTACATTTAAGAATTCTTTATAAAATTGGAAATTTAATAAGCATTAATAATTTTTTTAAATTTTAAACATATTCGCTTAAATAAGGCATGTTAGGATAGTCAGTTCGAATATTGAAAAATAAAGATATTTGTGAAAGTTGGTATTATGTGTTAAATAAAAAACAATTTATAACCCTTGATTGAAGATGTGTTCACTCTTTACTTAACAATAATACCGTAAAAAAATAAATTTTTCTACACCTCTCACTGCACCCTTAAAATTTGGATATTTTTATCTAAAATTTTTTACTATGTTCATAATTTTTGCAAATAGAAAACATTTACTTATTATAGGGAACTGATCAAGTTAGGCATTGTGGTACATTTACATAAACTGAAAGGTAATAAAATATAAATACTTCACACAAAAATAATAAACAAAATATATACACTGATATCTAAAACTAACAGTTATAATTGCTATAAACTAAACGAATAACTTTGGAAAACTTTAACGATGGTTTTATAACAGTCTGTTTTCCAAAATTATAAAACTATTTTCTAAAATAAAAAAGTTTACCTAACGATAAGTCTAGGTTTTAATGACGGATTTATAATTAGGTATGTAAAATAAACAAATACAGACTAGAGACTCCTACAATTTTGATAATTAATTTATAATTAACAATTCATTAGCGTTTACAAAAATAGAATATGAAAAAAGAAAATACTGACCAAACATATATGTGAACAAATAAAAATTAAATTATTAAGGTAACTAGAATAGATATTTAAAATCGCCCCTTTATACAACATTAATCGCCATTCTTTAAAAAAAATTAAATGAATTAATTCCGAGCCTGCATGGCACATGACAAACTAAATTAATTCCATTGAAGAATTAAAATAGCATGATGCATTATATAATTTTAAATTAAATTATTAAGTTTATAAGGCCAATTTCTTGATTCTACACTCCACTTACTTAAATAATAACTAATCGTCTAAATAGTCTATGGCATCTTTAAGATTGTCCCGTATTAGTTCAAGAATCAAAAAATTAGTCTTTCATTTTTAACAACTACAATCACAGAAATTATAATTTGCAAAATCTGCAAAATTTCAGTGAATTTGAACGTAATGCAATTATGACAGTTATGTACAAAACTTAAAACGATTTTTTAAACAATGTTAAATTAAACATTATCAATACTTTGGTTTTTCTTGAAGCTACCCAATTATATGGAAGATTTTTCAGAACTTGCTTGATTTTTGGCCTCACTTCTTACTGTACACAATGCTCAACAACGCTATACTTGTCAAAAGGATAGAAGAGGAAATTGTTGAACTGCCCCCTGTTGTAGAAGCTAAAAAATAAGGCAAATATAATATTAATTAATTAATTCGACAACTTAGGAAAGAAAGTTTATAGTAAATATACAGATGTTTTTGAAATAAATTTGTTTATACCGAAAAATCGCATGCCAAATTTGTTTTGCCCATGTACTATAATCTCATAATAAGGGCGAGTTTTAATTTAAGTGTTTAAATATATTTAAAAACGCGGGTCTTGGAAAATAAAAAAATAGGGGATAGCATATAAAACACCTTTTCAACTTTAAAGTTGTCTTTGGTATTTTGATTTTAAAACTGAACTTCTATATGAGATTACACATAAAGTGCATTTAAATTTTGTGCGAAAAAATTATGTATTATAAAATACCAAATCGATTCACCTTTATATTATACGTAATATAATAATAATTATACTAATAATTATTATTAATAATTATCTTTTAGCCAATGGAATGCTTTAATGTTGTTAATTAACTATTAAGAAACGCAATAATAATAGATTTTTTGGAATATATGTTTATAGATACGAATTTGACGTCTTTTGGAACTATACAGTTTTTTTTAAATATATGCAGTAGAACATCGATAATTTAAAATCCAAGGAAAATGTTAAATAGTTTGATTTACCTAGATAGTTTTTAACTTTAAAGGAGTTTCAGTTAAGGAGTAGCAAGGTTTGTTCATGTACTTTGGGATTCGAGATAGTGGGGCTATATAGGATAATTTAAATTATATGTATAACATTTTATGAACTAGGTTAAATTAACATGTAACCCGCTTTACATAGAGGTTAAATACATACATACTTTATTAAATAGTGGCGGCTGGTGGATTTTGGGCACACCCATATCTTAGTTATTAGACATGGGACCCACATCAAATTTATGTGTTTATAATGACATTATATAGATAAGTTCTTCGCAAGCAAAATTTAAATGGTTGTGAAAGTGAAGTTTGCAAAAAAAAGTTAGTTTTTAAGTTTACCCCCCCCCAGCCAGAGAATTATAAATTGCACCACTTTAATTTGAATTATCAAAAATTTTAAAATTTGTTGATAAACTGTAGAGAATTATAAATTGCACCACTTTAATTTGAATTATCATAAATTGGGGAAGCAGGAGGCTGGGGGCACACTAAAACATTAACTTTTTTTCGCAAACTTCAATTTAAATTCTGCTTGCGCAGAACTTGTCTATATAATGTTATTATAAACTCATATAAATTTGATGTGTGCCCCATGTCTAATAACTGAGATATGGGTGTGCCCAAAATCCACCAGCCGCCACTGCTTTATTTTATGCCTTGTAATAGGTAGAAATTATTGAGGTCACCTAGAATCTACTTTGAGTTACAAAGGGCCAATGGTCAATTTTTTCGTTTCAGTTGTAGGTTTCGTATTTTAAGTAAAAGATGTTTCTACTGAATATTATATATGTTCTTTTTCGTATGACTTAAAAAAAGGTTAACATTCAATTAACGTTAAACTGAAAATAAAATGAAATTACCTCCAAATAATAATAATAATAATAATAATAACAATATTATACCAGTATATCTAGGTATGTACTGAATCTTTTAAAATGAATAAGTTAAAAATGACTAATTATAAATCATATTTGACTAAATGTCACAGCGAAAACTAATGATTAGTCAAATTTTACCGAATAAAATAGTCAAATTAGTAGTTTTTCTCTCGGTTGTCAAGCGGATGTCTGACCGCTGCGCCACTGTTACTTCTATAAAAATTACGTATAATTGTCTATAAATGATGTTAATAAAATTTTAAAGTTATATATCTTTTTTGTGTTGCTGTTTTGAACTAAACTTTTTGCATCTTTGTTTGTTTTTATAAACCATTTACCCATGGAGCCTACATGCATTTAACGGTAACAATAATGTCTGGTTTGCCGCAAAAGTTAAATATGATTAAAGAAATTAGTTACTTTTATTCTCAGAAACAGTCAAAGATGGTGACTTATCTTAAAAAAGTAGTCAAACTTTAACTATTTAAATAGCAAAAACTATTTAAAAGTGAAAACGACTATTTTATTAGTAAACAATCCGGTACTAATTCAAATAGAAGAATATTGACTATTTTATTTTAAAAGAGTAAGTAAATCATATATTTAGTAAACTATATCGCGCAAGTGAGAGGTCCAGCGCTTGTAGATAGGCCGTCATTTTTACTGACCTAATATATCTTCATAAATTAATGGAAACAAATATATGAGGTATTTCATACCAAATCTACCACTTAAATCCTAAATTACATATGACACCAAAAATACGTTAATTGAATGTAAACCAATCCTTAATTAAGGATTGGTTAAGTTGTAAGAAAAAAACTTTAAAGCCTCCTAGCGGCTTAACAATGCAACTTAAAATAAATGGTTAAATTGATTAATTTTGTGTCAAGGAATTTTTGGTATTTCGTTGTACACGTAGGTATTGCCGGTATTTAAAAAATAACAGTTTTACCATGACCATGGATATTAGTAGTAGTAAATGAAAAGTTATACCTCCTACTGATGATTCTTTGTGCAAGATTTCTTGTGCTGGATTTTCTGGTGTGTATTCTGTGCATAAAAAAAATAAAAAAAACAGTGAATTAGAGAAAACTGCGTGCAATAATAATTATAATTATAATTATTAGCGTTTATTTTTATTAGTTTTAAAGGTTTTTTTTAAATTAAAATTTTGTTAAAAATTATGAATTGAATGTAAACAGTTTTTTTTATTAGTTTCTAATGTTTTTTTATTAAAAAATTGTTTAAAATTTTGAATGGAATTTACATTCAATCCAGGATTTTAAACATATTTTCAATGGAAAACAGATAAAAAAAACAGTTTCAACATATTTTCATAAATATTATGTTCAAAATTCTGGATGGTTGCCTATAGTAAGAAAACCGATTTAATAACAGTTACTGTTAAAATTGAATGGGTGTCCTTAATATAGGCAACCATCATTACCAGTGTGCTTATGTTAAGATGTTTTATATAAATTATTATTAAGTGCATTGTTTTATGCATAGTTTTGCATGTTTATTTATTTTCTATTTGCTATTGTTATTTTTATGAAAAGACATAGTTCTTATTATAAAAATAGTAATTGTGTAAAACTATGTCTTTTCGTATTTTTTAATAATAGAAAAAACTATGTACCTTTTGGTTCTTTTTCTTTCTGGTGTTTTGTTTTGTGCTTGTTATGGTGTTTAGCAGCTGCGTAAAAAAAGCAAAATAAAATGAGAAAACCAGTTAGACATGCAGATAAAATCAATTCAAAAAATCAAACAGCGTATATTACGTACCATGTGTAAATTCAGCAATGTTGGACCACTGGGACCAACCGTGAGTGTTGTGCGATCTTACTCTGGTTTCGTATGTGCCGCCTTCCAGGTTTTGCAAGGTTTGTTTAATGGTGTAGATGTTATCTTTATCGGCTGGAGTGACTTCTGGTTTCACGCTCTTCCATTCAGATTCCTAAATATGTATTTAGTTAAAAAAAATTACCATTGTAAATGATTAAGTTTGCTACTGAAGAGACAATTTTATAAACTCACCCCTTTCTTTTTGAACTGAAGATCGTGTTCAGTGATGGGCTGGTTGGATTCCACTTTAAAAGTCAAAAGGAAGTCTTTTCCCATCCTCTCCGACTTGATGCCATGCAAAACCGCTGGTTCTTTAACGATGGTAATGTTCTTGAACACCCTGCCGACGCTGTTTTTGGCTGTGCAAGTGTAGCTACCGAAATCGTCGTCTTGTACATTATTGATGATAAGCATGTGGTGTTTGCCTTTGTTTTTCAGCGCGTGGTGCTCGGTACTGACAAGGTTCATGCCGTCTTTTTGCCAGTTGGTCACTGGTGCTGGTACCCCATGAACGGTACATTTTAGTTCGATGTCTTTATTTTTGTCGGTGTTAACTGCGTATTTTTCGATGGTCACAATTGGCTCGGCTAAAAACATTATTAAAAAATGATTTGAGTATCTATATATTTTCTATTTTATATCGTTAAAAGATAATAACATAGCATTTTAGTTTTATTGAGATGATTCGAAAAAAACAATCTTCTTGCTTATTTCTGAATTTTAAAAAGTATTTCAAACAATTTAAACCTAAAAATGTGAAGTTTTCAAAAACCGTATTTATAAACTTAAATCAGTTTAATCTTCAAAAGAATTTAGCTCCTTCAGAACGTTTGCAAAAAATACAAACCAAATTATTTTACTTACTTTCAACCTCAATTTCAATTGATTGATGAGCAGGTGATGGGTTTTTATTGTCAGCTAAACAACGATATAATCCGCCATCCTTAGCTTTCAAATTTTCGATAATCAAAGTATCTCCAGTTATTTCCAACCTGTTTGTTTCTTTGTGCCAACTGATTACTGGTTTTGGCAAGCCAGAGGTCAAACAAGTCAATTTCAAAGTCTCTCCTTTTGAGAACTAAAATAAAAAAATATAATATTTCTAAAAAAATGCATCTTTTCCACTTACCGTTGTTCTATCGTTTTCAGCTTTCAAGCTGATGATTTTTGGTGCTGTTGGGAGTCTCAATATGTGTGTTACACTGATTTTCTTATTGTTGGTAATGAGAATTTCGCAGGTGTAGTTGCCAACATCTTTTTCGCTTACATTTCGTATGTGCAAGGACTCATCAGATGTCAGTTTTATATTTTCATTTCTATTCAACTGGATTCCACCTTGGTAAAGAACGTTAGAACTATCCTTGTTCCATACTCTAACATAGTTTCCTAAAATACAAAAAAATAATGTAGAGAAGTAATAATTTAATTCAAATAACATTACCAAGATCTTTAATTTCACAAGGAAAAACTACTTCTTGTCCAGGTGTGGCTATAATTTCATTGGCCTTCGTTAGGATTTGCGGCGTTTTTTCTTCGATTACGCTATCATCTGCATTATCTGAATCATCACTGTTATCCGAGTAATTATCATCGTAGGTATCAGCGTCAGCTTGAGTAGGATCATCTAGAAGACCGTATTCCTCTTCTCCGGTTAAGACCGATGGATCGTTGTTTTGAGGCTTTGCACTCACTAAATAATAATAAAAAAAATTATGTTAGAATTTTTTAGTAGCAAATCAACCAGGTGATTAAAATGATCCCCCCCCCCATTGAGCAATAAAACGTGCCCGTTTCTTGAGGTTCCTTATTTGGGTCATGGTATTGGTATTGAAAAAAATCACTGTACCAAAAATATCACCAACACAAGACTAGACTTTCAATTATTCGAGTTACAAAGGAAATAAAGGTGCAGTGGCGTTAATAATTAAAAAAATAACGGAAATATAAATAAAGCCCTCTGTTTAAAACCGGAAGCCAGTTCAACACCTATTAAGAAAAATTATCCCTAATTATGACATGACAGTTGCAATTTTTTTTACAAATCGTCGCATTTAAAATAACACTGCGTAGGTAGCTCCTTTGTTTTAGGATGAGTTTCATATTGTTTTGTTAATCGAGATTATAATAATTATAAATTAAATTGCAAATTGCAAAAGGGTATGCTCAGGGACGTAGCAAGGGGGGTGTAACCCCCCAACTTTTTCTTATACATTTTTTGTAGAAATGTATTCTTCTGGAAAAAAGTCTAAAATTAATATTTTAAAGATACCTATTTAAAGTCAAATTAAAAAATTTTAGACAACAATATCATGGGCGCCGGAAGGAATTCGTCTAGGGGGGGGGCCTTAAAGTTTTTTACAATTTTGATAGATGTTATTTATAATCAAGTTGTACTGTAGAAGTTCACATTAAACTTAAGTCAAATAAAATATTATTTTTATATGTATATTTACATTTAATATATGTATATTTATATTTAAATCTAAATCCATAAATCCACACCATAAACTGGATATAAATCCTCAATCATAAATCCATTACGTTATCTGGATTTAAATCATAAATCCTAAATCCACTTGCAAAAAAGGATTTAAATCCTAAATCCATAAATAAATCCTCTATTTTTTAAATATTTATTTCATTAATTTTTTAAGAACAGTTTCCGGATTATTTCACTTTTTAAGTTTTATTTAAGCTAAAACTCCTTGGATTCCAAATCAAAATTGATATGAACCTTATTGCACGTATATAAGATTCCATCGAAGATCTTTGGAATATGAACAATGACCCGGAAAACAATCGGGATTTCCTGGTGAAGTCATGATGATATCACAACGTGATTTTTTTTATCACGCTGTGATATCCTGAGTGCATACACATGCTTCATCACAGTGATATCATGTAGAACTCACGGTGTGATATTTGCAAAATTTGCGCATGCGTATTAGACCTGCGAACTGCGAATTAAAAAACCTACCCGGACAACATTCGTGGTATTCATACGAACATCACGTCGTGATTTTCACAAATTTTATTCATACTGATATCATACGGAAGTCACCGCATAATAAATGAAAATCATACGAACGTCACGTCGTGATTTTCACAAATTTTGTTCATATCTTGGATTTAAATTAACTATAATATAGTTAATTTAAATCCAAGAAAATAGTTAATGTTTTTAACCGGAAAAACTGTTGATTCAACATAATTCTTCTCTTAGTGTACGAACGTGGCGCAAAAATGATTATCCAAACACCGTTGGCATAAAAAATCACGACATGATTTTTTAGGCCATCGGTCAATCGCAAACAGCGATGGCATAAAAATCACGACATGATTTTCATTTCTCACGCAGTGTCATCCGGATGATGTCCGTATGAATAAAATTTGTGGAAATCACGACGTGACGTCCGTATGGTTTTCATTTATCACGCGGTGACTTCCGTATGATATCAGTAAGAATAAAACTTGTGAAAATCACGACATGATGTTGGTATGAATATCACGAATGTTGTCCGTGGATCTGTGGCTTCTGGTTTCTTCGCCATAGGATTATGAACGAAATCAGTAAACTGTGCTTCTGATTTCTTTGAACAGCCAGCCATTTCATTCATTTTACAACTGTAACAACACTAGTGCTCATTAAGACGGCACAAATCAAATCACAAGTTAAATTATCTAAGATAACAAATCTAATTTATCTAAAAAATAATGAACAAATGATAACGATCAGCACACCGTCAAATTATGGAGTACCGGAATTTCTGAGTATGAATTTCCAGGGGGGGGCCCGGGCCCCCCCCTGCCCCTATGTAGCGGCGCCCATGAACAATATTTTGATTTAGGTAAGTAGGTAATATTTTACAGATTTTAATTATTTTTGCTACCTAAGTGGAAAAATAGTATATATACTATTTTTCCACTTAGGTAGCAAAAATAATTAAAATCTGTAAAATATTACCTACCTAAATCCAAATAATAATATATACTATATTGTGCGACTAGTGGGAAAAAGAGGAGATTCCTCGAGCGTAGCGAGTGCTGTAACACGCGAGTGAAATATCCTCTTTTGACCAATAGTCGCACGCAATATTTTATTCAACTACCACAATGAATTTAAAGCCAACTTTATTTAATAGTTATTTATGTCATAAGGCTAAAAAGTGAGTCTTGATGTTTGAACGCCGAAGCGTAGCAGAGGCCTACAATTGATAAAAGCACAAAAAGATACTTCTCAGCCGCATGGCATACAATATTTTATCTTCAAGGCATTTTGTTTGTTAAAAAATACATAAATAAAATTGTACAATTATAATACATAAATAAAAATGTACAATTACACTAATTATTAAAAGTAGATATTGACGTTAGATTAAATCTGTAGAACCTAGCCAAATTTTTTGATTGGTTTAAACGGGATTTTTACAGACCAGGAGGTAAAAAAAATTACCCAATTGGTCTAAATTATTTCTACAGCCTGAACGGTTTTTTGATTATAGATAAACATAATTGACATTTTATAAAATTTTAAATTTTGATGACTAATTTCGTATATATATCTCTTTTAATTTTAGATACCCTTTTCCAACAAAAAAGTTATTAACTTTTTTATAGTCTATCGTTCACGTAAATCTGTTTGCTAAAATTATATATTATATTTTACTACTAAATTAAAGTTGTTTTTTTTTTTGAAAAAAAAGGAACCAAACTTGTTTTTTTTTGTTTTCAGTTTTAAAAATTCTATCATTATATCATAAATTAGTAATGGCTATTCATAGGTTTATTTTGTATACACTTATAATGCCTGATAACTAAAAAGTTACAGAATAGACCCCTAAAGGCTTTAAAATTCTATCATTATATCATAAATTAGTAATGGCTATTCATAGGTTTATTTTTTATACACTTATAATGCCTGATTGCTCTATAAGTGTGGAACTAAAAATATTCTTAAAACATTTATATGACCTTAAAAATGATCTTCAATAAGCAACCTCTGGTGCTGTAGTCACACCAACTCAATTTTTTTAATTGGCAACACCCTCTTTGTAATGCATAATTGGAAAGCTCCTAAAAATTGGTATTTAACAGTACTAAAAATACTTTTTAATGGTTAATTTTTGAAAAATACGCTAAATAATTCGTATAGATATTTATTTCAATTTCTCGCTATAAATATCAAATAAAACCATTTTGTTGTCGTTAAAACATTAGTAAAAAAATTTGATATTTATAACGAGAAATTGGAATAAATAATTATAAAACTTATTTTGCGTTGAAAAACTATTAAAAAGTATTTTTTTTAGTACTGTAGCAATTTTCAAGAGCTCTTCAATAAGGTATCGAAAAAATTGAGTTGGGGTGGCTACAGCCCTAGGGGTTGCTTAGTGAATGTCATTTTTGTGGTCATACCGATCCCCCCTCATACCCTAGGAACGATTTTGAGAAATTTTTAATATCTTTTTTAGGTCTAGAGTCTGGACTCCAGACTTATAGAGCATTGCTCGTTTCTAAATAGACACCCTGAATAATTCAATTAAATCCTATTTTTTTATTGATCAACATAAATCATGTCAGTTACGCATAATTTGTATTCGATATAAATTTAAATTTAAAACCCTTGCATTTAAATTTACCACATATTTCATCAGGTAAATGACAAAGCATTTTGTTGCATTCATCCATAAAATTCACAGCATGATGTCAAACGGCCTGTGAGATTTTAGCATTCGCCCTAAAGTTATGCTTAGGTAATGCAATTTCAAAAACTGCATTAGAGAATATGAGAATTTTAGGTTTAAATTTATATTCCTCTATTTTAAATTTATGTTTTTTTTATTAATGCTACATAATTTATGATTTTGTTAGTTAAAATAATTAACTTAAAAATAATCTAAAATGTAATCTAAATGGTTGTTGTTTATTAATCATACATATATGTATGTAACCATTACATAATTTTATCATTTATTATAATATAAAGTTGCTTGTGCCATATGGTTAAGTTTTTATAACATTAAGATTTTTAAAAAAGGTTTTCTTATAAATTAAACTCGGCAGATGTGTATTTCGTATTGCGCCAAATATTTTTACACTGGTTGTATTTAACCGCAAAATTAAACCGTGATATTTTTTTAGTTGGTAGACATTACTAAAAAGTCAAAATAAAATTAAACTTTAAGATAAACATCTTTTTAACAATGTCGGGAATCAGTGTTAAAAAACAACACAATGTGCCAAGCATATGTTGGTTGGTTTTATTCTATTTAACTTAAAAATGCACATATAAACTGCCATAAATGAAGCTATATTTTAGACTTTAACGACTTCATCTGATAAACTTTAATGTAGCTAATTAAATTAATTTGTTTATGTTTTATTGAGAAGGAAATCCAAATTTTGTTACTGTATCCACTCATCAATAATTGTCACTTATATTATCTAATATACCTTTATAATAAAAATAATAGAACAAATATAATTTCATATAGTTTTTAGTTTCAGTTTAAATTAAGTAGATTTTAATTATGATAGTATTGTTATTTTAATTCTTGTTGGTTTATAGGCCAGTTTTGTGTAGTTTATTTTTAGCATGTTTCCCAGCAAAAATATTTTATTACATCGTGCATTTGCAGGAAAAACAGCTAAAAGCAAACAAACTCTAATGAATTTTCCATGCAGGATATA